TAAGATGTGTAACCCGTTTGGACCTCATCACGTCGCGCCGGATTGTGCCGAGTGTGTGTTAAATGCTCTCCAACTTGTAAAAGCGTCTGTTAATGAGACATAACAGATTATTCCCACCAGGCACACAATGTCATAAGACGTTGATAATTGGTTAAATTTTGTTTGCGACGTCGGGTGACCAAAATTTAATGTAAATTCAACATCTAATGTCAATGTTAAATTGGTGTCCAAAACTGAATACATTGATTTAGGTTTCATTGATTTTTATAAAATATCTGTTTGTAAAATTACTGTAGGCTAGATGTAATCTGCATACTCATTGAACACTTTTTTTTGGTCCAACTGTTAAGAAGTAAGATAAAAGTTATTGTTCAAATGTAGTTTAACTGATATATTGTAAATCACAAAATATCTTTATTTCATAAAAATAAAGTATAGATGTCCACAGTCCACAGTTTACAGCATAAAGTAGGTTGCTGTAAGCTATCATGGCATATTCCGAAAATTGCCACAACTGTAAATTGCCAATTGCTATTCCATCTAGAATTTATTATAAACATCACCTTTCAGCCTTGCAGCCAAAGTCTGCATATTAATGTGGGGGCATTATTTCAAATATGCCGCACTTTTGTTTGCCGCATAAATTGCAGATTTCCGCGCAAAATATCAGGGCTTGTATGATTTCATAATCCTCGCATTTTCGTTGCAAAAAAGTCATATCTTAGCAGAAAAATGTTGTGTTTAGCCTGAAGCTGGTGTGGATGTGTCCGTGCCACTATCATTTTGCTAGATAAGAACCTTTTCCTCAGCTGCAATCAGTTGAAGCACTTCAAAGACCTTTGAAACTGCATTGATTTGGACTTCAAAACGTTGGTGTCCATTGTCCATTATTAGAAGAAAAATCCAGAAATGATTTCCTCAAAAAAATAATTATCTCTTCCACTGAGGAAAGATACATATGGATATTTTGGATAGCATTGGAGTGAGTAAATTATTAGGGAAAAAAGTCATATCTTAGCAGAAAAATGTTGTGTTTACTTTACACAAGAGCAGTCATTTCCCCCTGTTGCCATGGGAACATTATGCAGTGACGTAATTACACGATGTAAACATCATCAAAAAGCTGTAAAACAGGAAACTTTTTTAAATATATTTTATTTATTCATTTTCCCAGAAGTTGTAGCATATTCATTTTGTAAAGCTACAGAAATTGTTTGACTCATCAGTTTTTTTAAATTTGAGCCATGTGTTTATTAAAGTCTGAAATAAAACAGAAAAATTCCAGCACTTTCTGTGATGTAGTATGTTTGCTTATCATAGGAAGTAATAAGAAATGACTCTTTACATTAAGGTAATAGCTTAGTGAGAACAGGGTGTTGGGGAATCACTTTATCTATCTTTTTCAACAAACCGCAGTTTTTGCAAGTTCACGCAATTTCGTTGCATATTCCATCGTATTTATTAAGAAAACTTGCCGCATAATCAAGGATTTTTGCCCGCAACAATCACAAAAAAACTCAGCATTTTTCTGGAAGGACTGACCTTTGGATCACATCACCAAACAGCTTTTGTTGGGTCAACCCCACCCCCACCTCCACTTTTATAATGGCTTCTACGCCCCTGCGTCCAATGGGTACACAAGCTTATAAATCATACATAAGTGATAAGTGACAGTCATACATAATCTGTGCAAAGTATATTCCTTTATAAAATGCCTTATAATAAACACGAACAAAACCGGACACTGAAGTGAAGACAGGCAGGAACTTAAATTCACAGTGAAGATGGTTACAAAATGACAGGCAGCTGTGATGGAGGTGATCCATGTCCATGGAAACAGATTGATGGTGGGAAACTCAGACGAGGAACACACGAGGCAAATCAAAACAAACAGACAGTCCAAAGAAGCCTAGTGGTGACATTAATATTATTGAGATTACAATGAAATACTTGTTTAATTTCTTTTTCTTCTTCTCTATCTTCTGCAATTAATTAAGTCTGACTCTCAACATTTCATGTTAAAAATAGCCATTTTCTAACCCATACATGCTTAAACAATCGCCTGATGGGCTGAATGAGCCCTTCTCTGATCACTGAGATCGCCTCTATAATCCTGTACAGTAAAATAAATAAGAGGGATTCAGGCTCGAATCTGAGACTGGCCGTGACGTCATGCGCGTTCACGCTTGCCTGGCTATGTGCCTATGTCTTGCAGGTAGTGTATTCACCGCCATTCTCCATATCAGAGAAGACAACTCGAGCGACACAACTTTAGTCAACTTTCCACAAAAGTAGAAAATGGATTCAAAGAAGCTGTTTAGCCTACACCTGGTCACTTCATGCGTTTTCTGTGATCGGATAGCTATTAGATCGTGAAAAGACCAGGTTGCCCTCCGAAACGCATTCGAGGCGGATTTGAATCCGATCGCTCAAATCACTTGAGGACGTGGTCTGGGCCGTATTCCAGACAAAACTGGACAAGTGTAAATGCATCTGGTTGTTGAAAGCAGGCTATAGGTTATGTCATGTTATTTTAGTCATATATGATGACGCGCATCACCTCAGATGAGCAGCTGAGTGTCTATTCATTAAGCCAGCGTGCCGCAATCTATCGCAAATCAAAGTGAAAGTAAGTCGCAGACGACACTACCATCTTCATTAAAAGTAAAGAAATAAAATGATCTTACCAGGCAACCAGGGCTGTTGCCGCTCTCTCTTATTGCTGTCTTTGCTGATTTTGAAATTAGCCAATGATTAATAAAATGCAGCTCATAGACTATCTGTTGCTTTCGGTGACGTGCACTTCATGAATTCTGTAGCCTATATAGCGTGGGAATTGAAGATCAGATTATATCCGTTTTGCAAAAACACATTTATGTGACCAGGTGTAATGGAATCGTTTTGATAAATCAGATATCCGATCTGAGAAAACGCATTGTGGCCAGGTGTAAACAGCCCCAAAGAGACCGGCTTGTAGTTCATTCCAAACCCCAACGCAAACTCCACGTGAGACAAAGAAAATACAACTTCTGTCAGTCCAGTGCCAGTCGTCGGAATAAGACGAGAGTCAACATCGGGAAGGCTTTTAACAAATGGAGAGATCTCCGGTCTGCTCTAGGGCTCAAACGGGTCCTATACAAAGTAATAACTTATATTGTTCATGAACGTGTTTCCATAATTATACAATCATGCGTGGATACAGTAAGCACATAAAACAGTTCAATATGGAGATAGATGGAAACAAAAACCGACGTTTTCTACTACCCCTGTTTTCCCCTCACACATACATAAGTGTGTACTCGAATGCCTTTCCTTTCATATATTTTAAATGACCTGCAGATTTATAACTGTATAACCTCATTATGACTGTAACAAAAGATATGTGCCGCACAGTGTGCGGCTGATGCTCCTTTGGTTATGAGCAGCTCGCGTGCAAACGTGCGTGTATGTGTGTGTGAGCGCGCACGCAGTTTCGCTTGTCGCCAGAGGGGACGTAGTTCTGAAAAAACTCAGATACTTGCGTTTTGCGTTTTGAAAAATGGTCAGTGCACCCGACACATGGTTGTGGGTGTGTATTGGGCATAACGTGCAAAAAAAAAAAATCTAAGTCTCATCTCCCATTACATTTAAAAGCCACGCTCTCGTGTCATGGTGGATTCGCTACTTACATGGCAGAACTTGCAAGCAGAAAGACTGAACACTTCTGCAGAGAGGAAACGGATCTGCTCATGCACGAGGTTAAAGCGCACAAGCAAACCATCTACAGGACAAGCCGGATTACACCATATCTACCATATGTACACAATAATAATATTTTACATTGTAATCCTTTTATTTTCAATATTTGGCATGTTTGTGTGCTGCTGCGTGACCCTCTGTGTGTAATAAGCAGAGTGCAAGCGCATTGTGCACCTGGCTTTAGGCGTACAAGAATAATGCGTTCTTTAAATTACAAAATAATAGTCTATTTCAGTTGCCTCAATAGCAATGTGCCAACGTGGCGCAGGAAATGATAATGAAAATGATAACAAAGTGTCGGGCTGAAACTGGCGAAAAAAAAAAAAAACTTGTGTCACACCTGCCACTGCATTGCGCCAGGTGTATGAGAGGGCCTAGAATGTACACCACAATCAGCTTATGCTGAAATTGGCATGATGGCCCACCCACAGATGCTAATGTAAGCTAAGCCCAGATCTCTTTGTATCACATTCGCCAGCTTTCATTTTATTTTTTTGATTGTATTATTAAAAACATGATGTTTTTACTGCTTTGTAAGCATTTGCATTTCAATGGGGAAATGCAAATTTAGTTTTTATTAATATCAGTATCCAGGCCTAGTGATGCCTCTCAAGGGAATTTGAATAAATACAGGGAGTGGTAAAAATATATCTAGGGAGAAGAACGGAGCAGAACAGATGGCTGTGAGAAAGAGGAGCAGGAGGATGGGCAAGCAACATCTCACCCCTCACTCGCTCTGTTGACAGCTCGCATCCTCCATCTTCTCCCTAGTGTAATTTTACTTGTGTACAATCCAGCCCTAGGCGGCACTCTGTAATAAGCACAGCACAGAAGCACAGGTAAATAAATATGTGTGATGAAGCACCATACACCACTAGGATGACAAGTACCTCCACTACTGGCTCCAAACAGCATTTCACTATCTACTGTATATCTGCCATGGCGTGCAGTTCATATGAGGATGTTCATTTTGGGATCTAACAACAAAATGACAGAGTGGAAAAAGACTCAAAATGTCCAAGCAGCTATATTTTTTACAATAACATAAGGTTGCTGGTGAGGTGTTTAACCAAGGTCTTAAATAAAAAAATCTTTTTCCCCCAAACAATGCAAAAAGGCTTCAGCAAATTTTGTTGGCAATCCTCAGAGTATATGAGAGGAATAATAATATATAATACAATAATATATATCTTAGAAAACTAAAGAGTCTGAACAACACAACAGACCTTCATATTCAAGGACGCTTCTGCTCGCCAGGGTACCTGGGGTTTGGTGGAGGCTGGGGGCAGTGTTGGGGGATGCTCGTCGATTGCCGTGGTTACCAAAATGGGGGAGAGACGGGAGGGATCTTCAGTGAGTGGTGCATTGTCGTAATTGGGAGAGGAGGTGTAAAGACCATCCTCAAATGCATTCATGTCCTTCAACAAGGAGTCTAATTCTGGTTCAGGGTCATAGAGATCCCCTAAGAGAAAAAGAGAGAGAAACTATGGTTGGTTTTTAATCAAATTAGCATTTAATACGGTGGCCGAGAGAGCTCACCGCGCTGCAACCTGATGAAGACGAATGCAAATACAAAAAAACGTTTGCAACTATAAAAACGCGTGTAAATACAAAAAGACATCCGCAAATTAAGAAAAACATCTTCATCAGTTCCACAACACACGTGTGCTCCAAGTACTCACAACACAACCAAATACAGAAACGCGCTGCAAACGTTCACAACACCACCAAATACAGAAACGCGCTGCAAATAACACGGTCCACAACGGAAATGTTTCCGGGGAACCAAATAAGTGACGGACCCGACTGGAACCACAGGACGTGCTTACGCCGCCTTCACACTGGCAGTTGAAATCAGCTCCGATGCGGCTGCGAAACGACCGGAAGTCATTCATTTCCTATGGAGATTCGCAGACCGCATGCGAATGGGTCCGAAACGGGTCCGACCGAGTGCGGTGCGAAGAAAATCGTGTCCGTTGGTCATCCGGATGCGTTCAAAAATTTGAACTCTTGCGAAAAGCTACGGACGGTTCCTATCCGACAATTCCAGCGGAAGTTGAGCGTTGCTATGGTACTGATAAACAAACCTGAATTATTAACTTTTAATAAAATAAATATTGATTTTATAACGATAATTTGTGATGTCATTTTTTATTTTCATGACTTTCTAACGTTTATAAGGGCAGTTAATACAATTAAATTGAAGGTAGACATTGAACTATTGACCACTATATCACATTTTTTAGCCGACCTGACATGTCAACGTCCTGAGCAACTTTCCTCACGCAGCATAACCCTAATCAGAGAGATCATACAGAACTGACACAATCAAACTTTAATCTCTCCGCCATTTTTGTTCTACCCGCGTCCGACGCTTTTCACTGTGTAGTACGACGTCCGTTGGGAACGTATTGCGTATTACGGAGCTGATTTCAACTGCCAGTGTGAAGGCAGCGTTACAGCAAAAAACCTTTATTGACAAGAAGTCAAAGCCTATATTTTTTTTTTTTTATAAATAAACTATACTATTAAAATAATATTGTATATATAAATAATATTATACTGTTATATTTTTTTATAGTTCGTCTATACTCCTTGCTTACTCAAAATTCTACTTTGTTTTATTTAATTTCTTTTGACTTTTCCCCGCAAAACACAGAGATTCAAATTATTATGACATACAACTTGTGTACATTATAAAACATGTGTTAACAATATGTTCAATGTCATCACAATACAAATGAGAAAAGAACAATGATCTGAAAACTAAACTAAATAAATAAAAATAAAAAAGATCTAGAAGAAGCTTTGCTTGAAGAGCTTTGCCGTCTGCCCTTTGAAGGGAGTAGGGCATAGGGAAGCTCACGAGCAATAAACAAGTCCCAGTTGGGTCCATCAATTATTTGGTTCCCCGGAAACATTTCCGTTGTGGACCGTGTTATTTGCAGCGCGTTTCTGTATTTGGTGGTGTTGTGAGTACTTGGAGCACACGTGTGTTGTGGAACTGATGAAGATGTTTTTCTTAATTTGCAGATGTTTTTTTGTATTTGCACGCGTTTTTATAGTTGCACACGTTTTTTTGTATTTGCATTCGTCTTCATCAGGTTGCAGTGTTCCTTATTACAAACATTCCTTATTATTATTATCATTGCTGAAAACAGTTTTTTGTTGTTTTTTTTTGCTTTTAAAAAAAGCGTAGAAGCAAAAGCGTTTTGCTTTTGCGCGTAGAATGCTTTTATTCAGCAAGGATGCATTAAATTGATCAAAAGGGACAATGAAGACATTTATAATGTTACACAATATTTCTATTTCAAATAAATGCTGGGTTCTCTTACGAGAGGTTCTCTCGTATTGCGTAAGCTAGCTTACGCTATGGGAAAGATTCATCTTTGCTGAGAAGTTGAAGCCAAAAAATTATTCCATAATTTTGTAATCATTGTCAACGCAGTCTCTTCTGAGGCAGACCATGAGCGGGCTAGCTAGCGGCTCATTGGTTCGCTCAGAGAGAATGCACGATCCTATGGGAGAGCGGCGCTGAGTCCGCGGCCAATGAGCGGACGGCGCTCGCTCACTGCGTCACAGCCCGCCAAAAGGGGCGTGGCTACAGTGTATAAAGGTAGCTCTCCCAGGCTCGTTCGTCGATTCTTCATCATTCAGCGAGCTACACGCATCCGCTGTCCTGGGAAGAAGCCGCAGTCGTCGAGAGGGCACCTTCTAGCGAGCTCCGGAGTCTGAGGAAGCCGGCCGTCTGCCACCTTCAGCCGCCCAGCAAGCTAGCGCCATCCGACGCGTATCCTTTATTCCTTCACAAAAGAGCCGAGCGTCTTTTTCAAGATGCCTCGAATTTCCTGCGGCTCATGCCGCTCTTCACTCGAGGAAGGAGACCGCAACCCCATCTGCGTTCTCTGTCTCGGAGTGGATCACGCAGAGCTCGCCCTCGCCAACGGAGGATGTGACCACTGCGAGGACCTGCCTCTGTCCTCCCTGCGGGCTCGACTGCAGGCGGTCAAAACCGCTCCCGCGCCGCCTCTCACTTCGCCGCGGAAGAAGAAACGCCGCTCCCAGAGGCCGCTGGAGCCCCCTGCGGATCCATGCGGGCCGCCGCCCACCGACCGCTCTCCCTCTCCGCCCCAGCCGGACATACAGTTGCCACCGAGTGGCCGCTCTGTCGCCTCCGACGACACCGCGGATGAAAAGGACTCCTGTTCGCTGCACGCTTCTGACAGCGAGGATTGGTCGTCGATCGGAGCAAGCTCAGCAGCCCCAGCGTAGACAGGGCGGCCGCCCTCGCTCTCGCTCTGACAGCCGCCGCAGACAGCCTCCTCCCCGGGGCCTCGACCCAAGATCGCGCTGAAGCCCGATCAACAGAAGTCTGCCTAGCACAGCTGAGAAAAAGGCGGCTCTCTCCCGCTGCGGCCGGACCGCCGTCAAAGCTTCGCCCACTGTTAGTCCCCGTCTCACCGCCGACTACAGTAGAGTTCACCGCCACAATCAAGCCGGTTCCCCTGCCCGCTTGCGAGCGACTAAAAGCCGTTTTCACGGCTACCCAGAGAGTTCACAAAAAGAGCATAAAAGCCTCAAGTGTAAAAAATGTGCCCACAAGCATGTGTTCACGTATACACACAAGCACCATATGCCCCGGGTCTCACACAGAGCCCATTCTCACGGAGCTAGCACTATCCGCTCCAGTAGCAGAGAACATAAACACGCCCATGAGCCCGTGCGCGTGTCCCCCCTCTGCCCGCTCTGTCACACGGCCCATAAACTCCTCTCTGAGTGTGAGTCCCGTTGCCAACCGCATTATAAGCGCGCCCACACCCAGTGTCCAGCCCGCTATGTGCAGCAATCAGGGCGAAATCGCCATTCAACCGCTAGCCGCATGCTGCGAAGCGTGGGAAGCCATCCCCAGCATCTCCCCGTGGGTTTTAAGCATAATAAAGAATGGCTATCGATTACAGTTTCGTCGCCGCCCACCACGCTCGCGCGTGCGGCTCGAATCCAATGTGAGCACGGCTGCTATGAACACGCTTCGCTTAGAAATAGCCAAGCTACTGCAGAAGGGCGCTATAGAGAGAGTCCCGCCATCTATGACCGAGTCGGGGTTTTACGGCCGTTATTTTCTGGTTCCCAAGAAAGACGGTGGCCTCAGGCCGATCTTAGATCTCAGGGCTTTGAACAAAGCGCTCATGAAGAGACCGTTCAAAATGCTCACAGTCAAGAAACTCCTCGCGCACGTCCGCCAGGGGGACTGGTTCATCTTTCTAGACCTGAAAGACGCCTATTTTCAGATCCAGATAAACCCTCATCACAGGCCATTCCTACGTTTCGCCTTCGAGGGTCAAGTTTACCAATATGCCGTTCTCCCTTTCGGCCTATCCTTAGCAGCCCGTACGTTCACGAAGTGCATGGATACAGCGCTCGCTCCCCTGCGAAGTCAGGGGCTGCGCATTCTGAATTATCTGGACGACTGGCTGATTCTAGCAGATTCCCACCCGAGGGCTCACCGGCCGCCGGCCAGTGGTCGAGCCACGAGAGTTCCCTACACATAAACTGTCTGGAAATGATCGCGGTCGAGAACGCGCTGCTGTTTTTCCTCCCGCGCATACATGGTCACCACGTCCTGATTCGCTCAGAAAATATGGCTGAGGTATCATACATCAACCGTCAATGGTCCCTGCACACTCAAACAGTCCAAACGCTGTGGTGCCTATTCGGCAGAGCGTAGATAGATCTTTTCGCGTCAGAAGAGAACGCTCACTGCCCAATATTCTTCTCAAAGAGCGAGGATGCGTTAGTCCAGGATTGGCCCCGCCACCCGCTCTATGCTTTTCCCCCGATTTCTCTGCTACCGCAGGTCATTCAGAGAATCAGGGACTCACGCCACTCGGTGCTCCTCATAGCCCCGCGCTGGGAGAATCAGATTTGGTTCCCGGAGCTTACGCGGCTGTCACAGACAGCCCCGTGGCCCATTCCAATCAGAGCAGATCTCCTCACTCAAGCCCGCGGCTCGATCTGGCATCCCCATCCACAGCGCTGGGCGCTTCATGCATGGGTGACCAACGACTACGTGTCGAATTGCCAGAAGGGGTTCTGAACACGATCAAACATGCCAGAGCGGATTCTACCAGAAAGCTCTATGCTGCAAAATGGTCTGTGTTCTCCAAATGGTGCACCGACAAAAACTTGGACCCACGGACGTGCGAGGTTTCGTCTTTGCTCGTGTTCCTTCAGGAGATCCTGGATAAGGGCAGGTCCCCATCCACTCTTAAGGTTTACGTGGCAGCCGTTGCGGCGTTCGTTGAACCCCAGCGTGCCCAGTCTTTGGGCAAAGACGAGCTAATCATCCACTTCCTCAGGGGAGCCAGAAGGATGAACCCCCCTCGCCCCCCTACGGTGCCGGTCTGGGATCTTTCTATAGTTCTAGAAGCTCTGAAAGCCCCACCGTTTGAACCACTCGAGTCC